AATAGCAGCGTTGCAGTAGCTAGCACATTATTTAACCTCAGTGGAAAGATATCATATATTCTTTAGTCTTTGCAGTATTCTTGAATAGACTTTAGATCAGATAAGACGAGGAATCCTAATCGATACATTTTATTGCTTACATGGGTAATTTCGTATACAAGAATATTAACACAAAGATAAAATAACACAAGAAAAACAATAAGAACAAGTAATATAGAATCTTGCCATATAAGATTACCATACAAGAACTATAATTCAAAATTTTCATTAACAACTACTTATATGCTTCTGATTACAAGCTAGAACTTGATCCATTACTATAATTCAAAAACTATAGAATTTTGGAAGTTTTTTTCGCCACATACAAAAACTATAATTGCGAAGCTATAACTTTTTTAATGGATAATGACATAATCATTCCTTTTTCTTTCTTTCTTTTTTCAATCATGGGCAATGCCAAGTTGAAAGTATTCAATCCTTGACTATCTTCAGCTTCAAAAGTTTGCAATCCTTATCCAAAAAAACAAAACAGAAAAGCATTCTCCCTCTCTCAAGTTGTCTTTTCTTGTCGTGTCCTATATTGCTTTAGAAACTTAAAAGATTTCTAATAGGACTGTGCATGAGCCAAAATAATTAGTTAAAGCAAACAGCATTAACTGCTAACCAAATGAGGCATCAAAGGAGGCAATTTTATATTTGAAATGACCACGTGGAAAGACATTAGCCAACATCAAAAGTTGGAACGCTTTTGTATGTGGCGATTGAAATGTTATTGAATGAATTAAAAAAATGTGCACTCCTTTGTTTTATTGTTCAAAGGCTTCCGTACTCCTAGCATTTCTTGATACTTTCTTCAAGAACTGTCCAAATTTTCAGATATAAAAGAACAGATGATGAATAGACCAACAAGTTCTAGCTGACCAATCCAAGATATTAGCTGCATCTGATTATTATTCATGGGTGATTTTTAGTGGGGACTACAGACAAAGCATTCGAGTAATTTAAGGTGACGGCGGGTTACATACGCAGACCTCCATTGAAGAAAAAAGACAGCAATACACGGGGGGTAGAAGTCATATTTGTTCTTGTTTAACCTACGAAATCTTAGGTATTTCTTACGCATTTTCATTATAAAACCATGCATGCTCCTATTGATTTCTACACTACTTTACTAATCCTAGTACCTTAAGCAAACAATCACTCTTTAAGTTTGCTTCAGTGATCACTCTCAAACATTTTCTTAGGGAATAATACATGGCTAATTCAACTGTCTTGCGAGTTTCAATGCTGATCCTGGTCATTTTATCCGCAAATATGATTAATTTGGAAGCAATAAGTTATCGTGGGCTCGAGTATGCCTAAAAGGATTGCTAGCAGCTCTCTCTTACAGAAATGAGGCTATGATATGTCAAAAAGGAATGTGACCGAGACATCACCTTCAAGACTTTCACCTGGAGGGTCAAATCCTGAACATCACCTGTCCCAACCAAAGTCAGAAATGCCTTAGAGGAAGAAGCACAAATAGCCCAGCACAGGATGGATAAAACCACCCATTTCTTTAAATTTGGTACCTTCTACAATGTCTTTTTAGGCATTTTAAAATACATTAATGCCTTAGACGAAAACTCTTAAAACATCCAAATAAAATTCCGTAACGTACAATTTTTTCTGTGGGATTTTGTTTTGATGTCAAGTAATATCTTTATGTCCATAGAGACACAAGAAAAGGAATAAAAACTTCAAAGGCATTGTACTATTGTAGAAACCACCCTGGCTCTGAATTTAATTTATGGAAAATGTGCTTGAGCATCTTAAATTATCGCTGAACTTTTCTTTCTTCCCTTGATGTTTCATCTATGGATGGAACTGGGAGGGTCATCTAGATCTTCTTTCCTTGAAATTAATTAGTTATTTTCAATTAAGGCAGCAATTAGTAGTTACTCGAGAGTTTGATCACGACACAAGCATAATGGATAAACAAATTAAATTAAACTGCAATTGAACTCCAATAATTTTATTGATGAAAAAATTCCGAATTCTCTTACAAATTACGGAATAAAAGGAACCCTGCCTCATTACTAGGGCAAATTATGAAAGCAAGATTCCTAGGCAATTTTTTTTTTAAATTAGACCGGGTAATCTCGTGCTAACCTACAAAATATGTGACTTGATATATTAAATTAAAATAATTTTATAAAAAAATAAAATTAAAAAATATTAATATTATAAAAAACCCAAAAAACTTAAGCCGAGCCGAATCAGGAAAATCTTTCAAATCTATGACCTCAATCTTGAGTTTAAAATCTTCTTGTAGAAGGAAAACTTGAAAAAAAAAGAAGAGATAAGTCAAATTCCATATAAAAAAAAACTTGATTAATAAGGTGTTGAGGAATGAAATAAAAAAAAATTCTTATAAAAAAAGATTAAAAAACAAATAGCATTTAAAAAAATAAAAACCAAATATGATATAAAATTAAAAAAAAACTTATTAAGAGATGCAATTGAAAAAATAATTAAATTAAAAGAATAATATAAAATATTGAGGGATGAAATTGAAAATATAATTTAATTAAAAAAATCATAATAAAAAAATAAGGACTCATTCTAAAAAAAATCAAAAGTGGATTAAATTAAGAAAAAATTTCAATTCTATAGATTATTTAAAATAAAAAATTAATAATAAAAGAAGAATAACTAAATTTAAAAAAATAAATTATAAGACTGCTTTGAAAATATGAAGGATAGACATTCAAATCAAGACAAAGAAAAAAGAAAGAAAGAAAAAATTAATCACTAGCACAAAATCTAATATCTTTTGACCACTTTTGTCACCTGGTAATGGAGATAGTGCTGATACTTGAGCGCCAAATGACACCATACATGTTCAAAAATCACGAGCATTCTCACACGTGTCCATGTGATATGCATGCAAAACCCTCCTTTTAACTTTAAGTAATATTCTATATATACTAAAAAATTATATTGATCCTAATCGGCTTGAAATTAACAAAAAAAAAACCATAAGAAAAAAAAAAACCTCCTGACCCCAGTTGAAGATAATTTGAAGTAAAAAATGTTGTGGTCATTTTATTGTACTTTTTAAAATGAAAGTAAAAGGTGTCCATCTCTGCTAGTGTATTATTTTTTTTGTATCAGAAAGTATAGTAGTTACTTTACTGTGCAGAAAACAATAAAAAGACCACTAAACCCCACTGCCAAGGCCATTTGTGTTTGTTGATAAGAGTAAAATTATAATTTTACCGTCTCAATCCAAACCATCAATAAATCTAGAGCTTTAGTAAATTTGCTATGGTAAAATATCTAAAATATCTAACTTTTTAGTTTTTTTTAATAGTAAAAAGGATTATCCTCGTTGTATAGTACAAGGCTTAGCAGGCCTCCCAAGAAAAAAAAAAGACAAAAAAAGAAGAAAAGTAAATAAAAATAAAGTTAAAATTTTGAAACAATCATGGATTCTGATGACTTTCTTTTGGTTGAATCATAAAATAATTTAGAAACACATTAGTCAGTGCATCAACTCGATATTAGAAAGAAGTAGAATTCCAAGTTAATTTTTAGTATTATAAATTTTTTATTTGAAAAACAGAATTTTAATTTTTACACTTAATGAAATGAATTGAAAAATATATGAATTGAGAAATAAAAAATGATTTGTCAATGAATTAAGAATAATTAGGAGGGTTAAGGTCTTGGTTAGCCAACTTTATATATATATATATTAAAGAAAATATACAATAATAATGGTGGTGACGATATAACACAAGAGTATGGTTATAATATTTTCTATATAGTATATTTCCTATATAATACATTAATATACTTTCTCAAGTTGAGGGTGGAAGATAAACTCGAAACTTGAACTGGAAAGCAGTAAACGGAGCAATAAGAAGCGGCTTAGTAAAAACATCAGTAAATTGATCATGAGAGGGGATAAAACGAATCTGAATCCCTTTTTTCACAACCCTATCTCATACAAAATGATAATCAACCTCAATGTGTTTAGTGCGAGTATAAAAAATAGGATTTGCAGATAAGTAAGTAACGCTTAAATTATCATACCAAATAGTATGAGCAGAGGTAGAAAAAATATGCAGATCTCGCAATAGATATTGAAGCTAGATAACTTTAGTAGTGCCATCAGCCAAGGCTTTATACTCAGCCTCGGTGGAGGAGCGAGCAACTATTCGTTACTTGCTAGATTTCCAAGAGATAGAAGTCTAACCAAAGAAGACAAGACAACCACTTGTGGATTTACGATTATCAGTACTACATACTTAATTTGCATATGTAAAACCATGGACAACAATGGAGAAATTGCGAGTAATATATAAACCATAGGTGGTTGTATTGCATAGATAACGAAAAATTCATTTAACAATACCTTAATAAGAATTTGTAGGAGCATGCATAAACTGATAGATTTTGTTAACAGCAAATCAGTTATCGGGTCTCGTAAATATGAGATATTGAAAGATATCCATAATTTGACGAAATGGTGTAGGGTTAGAAAACAAAGGATTCAAGAGTATAGTGACTTTAGATGCAGAAATACGAGTATCAAATGATTTACAAAAAGTCATACCTGTTCAAGTGAGAATGTCAATAATATACTTAGAAAAATAAGTATTATTATAATATTAAAATATCATACAATATTACAATGTCAAAGCGGTATCTTTTATTTGATCATAATAGCAATAGAAGCGTTATTTTTAATTGATCATAATAGCAATAGGTGATGGTAAGTTTTGAGAAATAAAGCATTAATTTAATTTCTGCATTACAAGGGCATGACTGCACACATGGAAAAATGATAGGATGAGCATTGCATTTTTAAAAATAATCTAGAAAACATATATAATTTTTTAATTTTATTAAATTAACCTTTCAACTAGTAGTATCTAGACCATGACCAAATAAAAATGATGAATTACTATAATAATTTACATATAGATAGCATAAAATAGAAATTGAGAATAATGATATACCTTGAAAAATGAGATGAGAGAGTGAAGGTTCTGCTTGTATTCATGGAGAGGCACGTGTAGAAAGGCAGCGTATCTATCGGAAAGGCAAGCATCGTTAGCACCAAAAAACACAGTAACAGCCAAAGTCGGCGCACCACCACTTCCCACCGGCGGCAATATCCTCTCTGCCACCTTAAGAGCCCACCAGGTATTGTACCCGCTATGCCCTTTCAGCACCACATCAACCTGAAAAACTCAAGAACCAAATACATAACTAAGAAACATAAAGACAATAAATATATTCAGAATTAAATCCTTAATTAGCAGCTTGTAATAAGAAAATTTAGCAAGGTATGAAAGAAAGAAGGGAGTTGCTACCGTGCGAGAGAAATGGTTGCTGAGAGAGGCAGCCCAAACACCATCACCAAAGGAAACTTCAGTGATGGAGTCGCCAAAAAGATAAATCTTTGGTCTCATCTTTAACAAATCTTAGATGCAGGATACACTATTTCTTCAAAGTGATGTTTGGTTATGCCTCAAA